GAAATATTATCGATGAAAAATGTTTTGATAGCCCATGGATAGAATGTTCGGTAGAAATCCAAGTATTCCAGCTTCTTTATTTGAGTCTTTAGTTTGACAACTTCACTGTTATAGTTTGGGAAGTGCTATGTCCTCTGACGATGGACGGATATCGAGTGCCAGCCACCAACTTTCAACAAATTCCTAGATGATTCCTGACCCGACTAATTAATGAAGAAGACACGATGAACGTGCGGAAACGTATATTGGTGTCAGAAGATCGAAGGCCCAAAAACAAAGGAAAATATATCAAATATATGGTGGATAGTTTGCTGTTTCAAATAATAATGTTGATTGACTGTTCCGCCGTCTGTCTGTCTAGCTATCGAAGTGATAAGATAAAGTTACATTTTGATTGGTCCTTTTCCAGACTAGTTATTTCTTTCTATCCCCATGTTATGTGTATAGTGTAGTAAGCAGCGCATTGGGCTGATATATTCATTTCAGGATGCTCATTTGTATGAAGTGAAAAAATGTAATCGAGCTTTTTTTTCTTGACCTTATGCGTATTCCGCTAACATATCAACCCATCATCAAGAAAGACTTGTTGATACATTGTAGCGATAGCAGTAGGTCAGAACAGTAACTGATGCACTAAAGAAGACCTTAAATAATTAATATAACGGTAAAATTTGTGCAGTGGTAGAATGTAATTCCATTTTTATTGACTTATTAGATTGATCACACAGTGTTTACTGAATTACATTTCGGACATACTTTATTATCCATAGCCATATCAAGATAACTAAACAACTTTATGTAGTTCTAATTTCCTCGCCCCTGTATGATAAATCTGATAAGTCAATAAAAACGGAACCTTAAATAATTATCAGTTGTTATTCACTGCAGATGTTTTTCATCTTAGGATCTTCTCTTTTGCATTTTATCCAATTTGCTATGCTTTATGGAAAATCTATTGCTTATTCTAACTAAAATCCGTTGGATCTCACAGTTAATATTTGAAGGTTGCATGCTAATTTGATATTAATGGTGCATATTCGTTGGTAGTAGAATCTAGGACATCCATTTCGTCGTATTTTGGACTCGTCAGCCGGATCTACCTGCCTCTCAGTAAGTGTTGTTGTTCCCGCTAAGACTCGAATCCAGGGCCAGTCGCTTCAAACGCCAGAACGTTAAAAGAATTAACCCCTATCCATCAGTATTGTAAAATTTGAAAATACTGGCAATATCGAGGCATTTGCCGGTAGTGGTCGATCAATTTGGTCCAGTGAACGACGGAAATTCATAATCTATAACATCAAAGTTGCATGCAAAGGTTATGTTTCTTGCAAACAAATTCCTTCATAGTCTGAATGACCCTAATTAAAAACGTCTGAACCAACAGAGTTAGTGTAAATCTGTCCATTTATTGCTTGAATCTGTGTACTGATTGCATACAGTGTACAAATATCAACATCGGCATCATAACATTCTTCCTGGATAACATTTCAACCGTCGTGTATCTTGGTCTTGTCGGAAACCGCATTCTTGACAATATCGGTAGGATGATTTGGTGATTATCAGTTGAGATTCCTTGTATTCTTCACTAAAGTTTCTGATACGAATGAAAACATACAGTTAAGTGGATGAGTAACAGAATGGAATAACACATTTCACTTTTACTTCTCGGGTGGCATCGTCGAAATAACAGAATACTGGGGACGTTAAGTGAGGTACCTCATATTCAGTTACAGTGATCTCATGCTTTATTGTAGTCCAAATAGAGAACATTTTCTTTCCTTATGCCCTGCTTTGTTTTAAAGAGGTAGGTGAAAACCAATAGACATATTGTGATACTTGAGCATCTGGTCACTTTTGATTACGAGCTTCAACAAAGTCATGCTATACGATTGTCTACAAGGCCTTGAAGAACTAACCATTTATGAACTCGAACCTCTTCTCTGTGTGCTAAAGAAATACTTGTATTGTCTGATCTTTCCTTGATCTTACTCCCTCTTCCTCTTGTCTTTTAAATCTCATCATTTGCAGTTATTCCACTATTATTACTTTGATTGCGATCCTTGTTTCTTTCTTGGCCTTCTTTTCACCAGTCAAGTAGATACGTCATATCTAAGAACAATTCACACCTTGTAAAATTCTGTGCTTTCCTTCTTATATTCGTCATTAAGTCCCTGACTGTTGGTCCGAACCGCCTGGGAAGATGCTGACTACCTGGCTGGAGTCCCTAGGACAATAGGAATCAGTGGTTGACGATTCTTGGTGACATGTCTGAAAATGGGTCACAATGGCGCAGATGTATTCAGCCCTTGATGTCTTCTAAAGCCTGGATATTTACACTAACCATTATCTTCAAATTTTTAATTCTCTCTTACTACTTTATCTACTTTGATATCAGTTTTTTTCCGTCCACCTGTTCTTTGTATACTACTGTGAAGCGTGGCAACTTGAAGTGATCTATCTGTGCGCGAGGTCCTACTTTGAATTTATCTGTCAGCCGGACAGTATTGTACACTACACTGTAATTATACAAGGATGCAAACGTTTTCTGACTGCAAATTATGGTTGAGCATACTTCTTGATTATTACTTTATGGAACTTTTTTCTGTTATTTGTTTTTTATTTACTTCCTATTTTTATCATTCTTTTTTGTATACGGTTCTTAGTTTTTTTTCTATCACTGTTCGCATCAGTAAATTCATTCCTTAGATTTTTCCGATTTTTGTTCTGTCTCGGTCTGTTTTTATAAAATTTGAAAACTGGATTCATTGGATAAACTATTTCAGGTTCTGTGTCACATGTGCCTATATCGCTATTCGGATTTGTTGTTTATACTACTTTAATCCAGAATTGAGTAGGCGTTTAGATATTTTAGCAATATTGGTATGTATTGTGATACTTTCTTACTGGAATATTTGAGTTCTCCAGTCCCAGAATTAATCTTATCAATTTTAGGTTCGAAAATATATTTGTCACTTAAAACTAACAGGAAAATTACTAGCTTATATCATATCAGTTAATTTCAGTAGTTTTTATTTCTAGCTTTGTATGATTGAAGGTGGGCGTTTGGAAGCTCTACACTTACGTTTTATGCTTGTCTCCAATCATTCGTATTTTATGTTTACTATTTGTGATTACAATCTGGGCTGAATAAATATATTGTGCCTAATCTTTGGTAAAATGTCGTCAGACATTTCAACATAAATTGAGTCCATGCAAAGTTCATAGAAATCCGTTTAATATATGCTGAAGACCGAGTGTAGCAATGACTTTCCAACGTAAGCTACTCAATACACAGAAAGCATTCCCTTTACCTTTTTATTCCTTATGTCACAACCAGATTTGCAGCAAAATGTCACTCAGAAACTCTATGCGGGTTTATGACCTCATTCTGTCGGAAAAACTTTATATTGTTTTAAGGTTAAACATTACAACCCGGACTCTGAAACCTGAATTTACCTGGTGGTTGTCGAATCTACAACCCACTAAGCTGCAGTCCCCTGAAGAATATATTTACCGAACAGAATGCTGGAATCGTTTGTGAATAAGGTTGTTTTTGTATTCAGTCAAGCACACTTACCTACCTCTGGCACTAACTGTATTTCTTGACCTGAAAACTGCGTTCTTCTCTCGATTGAAAAGTCTTATGGGGATATTTCTCACTGAAAACGATTTTATCAAAGGCACTGCTCGAACCCAAGTGGGCATTCTAGAGCCTATGGAGAGTTTTCAAGTGAGCCGTGTACATTGAGTGGTGTCCGTCAAGTATGCCCGCCCTCTCCATCCCTGTTCCATTGTATCATAGACGTTCTTATGGCGGTCTCTCTCTCGTCATCTGACATTACAAAGATTGGTCAGATCACAGGAGAATTTCTGGTAGATCTAGAATATATAGGTGATATGGTCCTTTTAGATGAAGACATTGACAAGGTGAAGAGTCTTATGGAGACCTTAAATGGTAATTTGAGAACGTTTGGGATGCGTTTCTCGCCAACCAAATGCAATTTTCTGCTCCATGACTAGTTTTCAACGTTTCCTCCGGCTAACAGTAAAGAGTGAAGTTGTTGAATGCGTTGAACACCTCACTTACCTGAGAAGTCGAACCAACTCTAGTGGGTCAGTAGGCGATGAAATCTCTACATGGATGCAAAAGGCTCGACTGGCTTTTGCCACCGTCATATCCGATTCCCTATTAAACATAAACTCTGCTTTGCCCCAGTTCGGTCTGTCCTACCGTATGACTTTGAAACATGGCCACTATAGGTAGAATATATGGGAAGGCTTCAGGCGCTTGACTACCGTCCCCTTCGTAGCATAGGTCATGCGTCGTGGTGTCACCGCGTGAGTAACGCAGAAGTCAAAAGTAGAGTTCTAGAGAGGAAAAGTAAGTCAGCTGAAGTTGTGACTCTTCATCTACTGATATGGACGGGGTATGTGTTACGTATGCCTACCCACCGTCTGCCTCGACACAATGTTGCTGAAATAGATTCAGGTTAGAAAAAGCCTCAGGGCCTCCAACCTAAAACATGGCGTCAATGCATGAAGTCCTTGGCTGTTGCTTTGAGCCAGGTAAGGCGATTTAGAGTAGCCAGTTGGGGTCTACGTGACAACAGAAACTAGTGGTTGGAGAATGTAGGTGACATGACTCAGAATCGATGTCATTGGTGCAGATGTACCCACACTTTATCTTCATCTTAACCGCTATCGTGAATCCTACCGTGCTTTCACTCTTTCTTCCTATTTTATTGCTTTCTACAGCTTTTGACTGAGTCTATTTTTCTTTATCTCTCATCACACGGCTTTGTTACTTGTATGAGGTATGGAAACCTGAATCATTACGCAGTAATGCCTTGCCCTATGTTCACACATGATGATTTTCACTCAGATTATTGTACATTAATATATGTTATGTCTCATTTTTTTAAATCATTTCATGAGCATTTAATCAACAAACAATTATTTTATCACTTAATATATCTGCATAATCTTTTTTTAATTTCTAGGTATCTAAAATTGAAGATCCCATGTCGTCTGATAACTATGATGTATTTTGCATTGATCGTAAAGCCCTTCCAAAACGAACACAACTGGATTTAAATACAGTAAAATTACTCGAACAAGTATCACTTATTGATTTCAAGGGTGAAGTAAGTTCATTTTCATGGTTGTACTGTGTTCTATGAGCTGGTTTGTTTAATCTGAGAGCTTTCATTATCTTTCTAGACGACATCATCAGCCTATCCTGTACATCATCAACTAGAGGGTCATCGACAGAAATCAACAAACGTATCATCCTACAGTACGGTAATAATATACCAGAAATCACAACAAGATTACTGAGACTACTTGGAATTGGTGTGGTTCATCAACTAACAAATTCCCTGCAAACACTATTATGCAGACCAAAGGATGCAACAACCAAAGAACACAAAATGAACATCATTTACGAAATCAAATGCAATAACTATAGTTAACACTACATTGGACAAAATGGTCGCCCTCTTCACCTTCGTTTATATGAACACCAGTTGGCTATTAAACGTCACAACATGTCAGTGCTGTGTTCAATGCACGTGGATAATTATGGACATGAATTCAATTTTGATAATGTAGAAATCTTGGACGTAGGGAGGAAACACAAAGAATATCAGAGAATTCGTAGAAGCTTGGCATTCACGTCAGTCAGCAATCATTAGATGTATAAACAAAGACCCAATCTATCAACTAATGAAAAAAATGATAAACGACAGAAAGGTTAGAGGTCAAGCAAAGGAACAGCCCAACAGGAAAATCTGTACAGTCAGTGACACAACAATCAAAGGAAACAACCAATCACAAACCAGTTCGTCAGGGCAAGCTACTAAATCACTCACAGAGGAATACTGACAGCTCACTTCATACTGAAGTTGGTGCTGTTGATGTCGTCTAGAAAGACGATGAAAGCTCCAGGATTAAACAGCCTGGCCCAGAGAACACAACCAAGACCATCCATATGAACTACAAATATTCACCATTTTTAAGTCCTTTTTCATTGGTTGCCAGTTTATATACATCTTTAGTGACTTTCTTTACGAACAAAAAAATACCAATAGCATGTTTGAAGTCCCCAAATATACGAATATAGTGAAGATTTACTTAATTTGGAGTCTTTGGATTTTACAAATCTCATTTTCTTAGCTTTAAATTATTATTTCTCCAGTCTGAAGTTATTTTTGTCGAAATTGAACAGATGCACTTTTGTACTGGATTCTTTTCTGTATAAAGGTGTTGCTTCCTTTTTAGACTGACCTTACAAATGTATAAACTGCACGAATCCACCACCATTGAGTAACAGATGTAGCTGTCAAATCCTTAATGTTCAGTAGTGATCGAAGTCTATCGATAAAGTTTGCAGCGTGGTTACTAAAGTACGTGACACCGCGGTGCACCTCACCTTGGTGTGCTACACACTGGATGCGCCAACATGCATGAAACCGGGGTTTAAGGCTTACTACTTACTAAATTCCAACATGTAATACCAGAGTGCGTTAACACCGGACGCAATGCACGCACACAAGTTATGTCTCTTTGCAATTTAAAAATATCCATAATTTTGAGGGCAGTGATCAGACTCCAGTTAAGAACTTTTACATTATCAAAGAGAAATTCACACTAGAAGTAGAAGAACGAAGACAGTTTCAAAGTGTGTGTATATAATTTAGCTACTGTTTAATGTCAATAGCTGGAGAAACCGTCGGGATGAAGGTTTTGCTTTATTAACTATTCTTTAGCTGAATATACTCGGTCCTCGGTGGAGTGGAGGCCTTCTAAAAGTCTTACTTGTTACTTGAAAATGGGTATTGATTGTTTTTAAAGTTTGTTGTTCATACTGCATCCAGAATTTACCACGTATACGCCAACAGTAGTGTGTTAATTCATTTGGTCTGCTCTGACCGATATCTGCTACCTTGATGTGATGGTCGGGCTTGAATATCATAATGATCCAACGAGTTACGCTTGTTCCATCGATGTCCTACTATACCAGAAAGGTTAGTTAGATAGTGGCAAGAAGAAAATCAGTTACTGTAATCGTGTAAATTACCACACTATGATGGGGGTCTGAGGGCGAAGTCGTACTGCTGCCAGTTGGGTGGTGTGACAGTAGTAAGGTGTCTCTCTTGAATGACCAGCAATCCCACGCTGATGCTGCCTTATTTGTGGAAAGAGAAAGTTAGGAGAGGTTGGCCCCGATAATAGCACACTCCACTATGCCCCTTGGTTTCCTGGTACCGGCGGTATGGGTTTTTTGTCTATCCGGCATTAGAATAGCCACACCTAAAAAAAACAACCCACAAAAGGCTATGTGTGACAAACCTGAAACGGATGTCACATGGGCTCCGCGGTCACATAAATATTTTTCTCTTTCAGGTACCTTAAAAAGAAATGGTCTTCCACGGTATGGGCAGCCGAGAACTGTCAACCGCCCACACGCTTCTAGTAGTACAAAAGACTTGATCAAACACCACCTATCCCCCGCAACTCTGTCTACTCCTTTACCTTGGTCTCCTGACACTAATATTAGGCTCCTTAAACCTTACCCAACCTCTTACTCTGCAACCATTGTCAATGATCACGTTTAGGCTGGATCTTGGGCAACTGAAGGGTTGCTGAGGGCCAGTGAAGCTGTGATTCAAAGTGTTCCACCCAAAGTTCTAGTTGCCTGCCCTGGGAGGTTATCAACGTCCCATCCTTTCTAGTGGTAGTTCCACTCACCGTCATCTTCTTTTTGCCGGAATCCTTAATATTCCTAAAGAGTTGCCGAGTGTTACCCAACGTTGATGCCTTCTCCATCTCTCTCGCTTTCGTCACCCACCACTGCTCTCAATCGATGCGAAGACTTTTCGTCAACTTATAGTATGAGTTGCTTTCGCGCTTCATCGTGGTCAGAGCCAGTTATTACCAGTCTCAATCAATCTTATTGTACAAGTAATATTTAGTATCCAGTTACCGATTCAAGTAGTGGTTAACCCAAGTAGCCCTGACGAATGACCCTAGTAATTTTAAGAAGTACAAAAATCTTTAGGATCGGTAACTATGTTTTTGTTTAGTAGGACACCGGAAACTTTTTTTAGCGATAGTTTATGAACTGAGGATGCAAACAGTAATGGAGTTCCTTTGACTTGATCGTTTGATGAAAAATCCTCTGAAAGATTAACAAACAAGTAACGATGAGCCAAGTTAACTGTTAAACGATGCTCGTTTTTGGTGATCTCGATTTATCGCTCACAGGATTTCACCAAGCTAATAATCTAGGTAAAGTGACGCCGTGGTGTTTTATATTCTCTTTTGATTAGTTTGCCTAATTGCTTGGAAGCTACACATTCATACTTGGTTCGCGTTAGGTTTATCGTTAATGACACAGTAGTAAGTGAAAGTAGTTCGAATCTCGGAAGGAATATGAGTTCTTTTCAATCTCCTTACACTCTTTTCTGATAGGTGCTAACTGGCACAAAATCTTAACCGAATTTGTATTCTCTCTTACTATAGTTGTTTACTACCCTTTGAGAGATTCTAGTTATCTAACAGAATTTTGCATGTATATTCTCTGATAAAAAGGTTTTCTCATCTGATTAGTTTAACAAACTGATTACGCAAGTTATATTTGGTCACTTTTATTGATATATATACAAATATGTCGACTAGTTTTATTTCGTTATTTTTTTTCTTCCGTTTATTAAAGGAAAGTGTAAGAATTCTCGAAGAAGCTATTCGTTACGCTGACTCTCTGTTAACAAAAGAAGCATTCTACGGAACGACGAACGATCAACGTTTAAGTCCAGACAGTATTGAACCTATAATTAGTCTTTGTGATGAAATCAATCCTGACTTCAGTTGTCCTTTAGATACATATGTTGATGAAGTTGGTGTCGATAGTTGTTCCCTGGCTAGTGATATTATGTATCATGTTCCAGATGCATGGGAAGGTTATATTGTGGCTCCATTGGGCAATATTCCTGTTGATCAGAAAAAAGTCAATCCTATTTCAAACCATGAAAAAATATTAGTTTCTGATGAATAGTGAATGTATTTGTTACTTCTGAAAAGCTTATAAAGGAGATAGAAGTGAAAGCTACTATTATTTTCTGTTTGAAGCCCGAACTTGGTGAAGTATAGACACCAAGAAATGCGCCATAAGTAGGAACATAACAACATTAAGAAGACATAAAAGTGATGCATAGAGAAATAAAAGTAGGGAAAGGTTATTGAAAACGCACCCTCGAACATTCCTTCCTTTCGTCTTATATTTCAATAACCCGACCGATAGCTGCTACGTTGGTGTAATGATTGAGCTTGCATACCACAGTGACCCAGGCCTACATTGGTGGAACGCTTGTTCCCTCAAGGTCCTATCATACCACAAAGGTCCCTTGGACAGTGGTAAGACAAGGAGCAGTTGCCATCATAATGTAAATCGCTACACTGTGACAGGGAAGAGGTCCAATGGCGAAGTTATACTGCTGGCTGGACAGGAGTGTGACACCAGTACGATGTTTGCTGTGGATGACCAGCAGTGCCATTCCGATGTTGCTTTTCCTGTGAGAAAGAGAAGTAAGAAAAAGTTGATCCTAAAAATAGCATACCTCTTTCTGCCTTGTGGCATACTGGCTGCAACCGTATGGGTTCACGGACCGACTCGAAAAAAATTGAAATCTCGAACTTCCAAAAAGACAGTATATTACTGGCCTCAGACTCTGTGGTTATACATTAACCCTTCCTTGTCAAGTACCTCAAGAAGAAATAACCTTCCACAGTGTAAGCACCCAGAAAGTGTCAACTGCCTTCATGACCTCATCACCACTCAAGTTACCTCAGTTTATTATCAACCTTTTACATCTTTACTCATGTCTCTCAGTCACTACTCCTACATCTTTAATTTCTTGATTGATAAAGATCCGAGTTCATGGAACAGCATCCCTTTCCTCTTCAAATCGCTCTCCAAAATACGCATTGGAGCTCTTAATGTCCCCAACTCCCCTCAAATCAGCCAAATCTCGGGTCATGAACCACATATTTGGACAATAATTACACGCTGGTTTGAGCGGGGGTGTGTTTGTGCCCAAATAGATGTGAGAGAACTATAGCGACAAGGCCGTTGTGAGTGATGCTTGACGTTGAGAATATTAAGGCTGCTTTCAGGTAGAAACTGGCTAAACAGTTATTAAGACAAAACAACATCACGTATCCAGAAAAAGCCGGGTGCCATCTCCAATCTGTTGCAAAAACAGCGTTGAAACCCGTATCTGATTCAGATAGTGGTCGGAAAGCACCATCTCAGCAGCTTCTTCGGAAATAAAGGATGCTCGAGAACTCGTTCTTGCGGGCTCCAACCACAGTGGGTAGCAAAAACAGCTCAAATGTAGAATGACAGCAAGTCTACGCAATGATCGCAAACAGTGGTGGGTAACGAAGGCCAAAGGCCGCGGTGATGGGTAGCTAAGACGATAGTGAGATCATAGCGTAAAAAATTGGGTTTACGACTCACTTGCAGGGGACACAACTGGAGCAATGGGGAATACACTGAGCAACATTCCAACTGGCCTCCAACTACTATTCTGTCTCCTGCTGTCTAATGGGATCCTAAGCGGAATATTAAAATAGGACCCTCAACACTTCCGGAATTCCAGTAGGTTGCAAGTACCCGAAACAATGAAGGATAGATGGAGTAGTGCCGAAGGTATTTAAGGACAGTGGTCGTGGATCATTGATCACTTTAACTGAAGCGTTAGCCAATGCATAGGAGTCACATATGATTCGCTGTAACTAATCCCAATCTTTGAGAAAGGGAAAGATCCCTACCCTAGAGTAATAAGCCCAATGAACATAGTATCTAGGGTGGTAGTTCCTATAATTATTAGACGGCTAGGTGGAGCTCAGGAACATTTGACTCAGTCAATTGGGAGGCAGTATACCTCACTGAAATGCATGCTGGGTATGTCATTCTGTTATAGTTCCTGCAGTGGAACACTCATGGGCTTGTTAGAGCCCATAGTGAGTTTTGTACACAGAGCGATGTCTTTCAAGGATGTCCACTCTCTTCATTCGACACTACCATAAGTGTAAACATGGTGGTTCCCATCTTTTCGTCTGACTTTACAGGGATCGGTCTGCTCACAGTGACCGACAAAATCTTCACGCGAATACAGAAGGTTCATCTGGT